AACGGGGAATGAAAGGAAATGGTCAGTAACGGATCATCCCAAGGGCTGTCAGATCGAAAGAAGCCACGCCCGCGATCGATAAAAGAACATAATTGCGAGCTCAGCTCACAGAATGGCAAAGGAAGTCGGGTGGGAAATGTGAGGAGAAGGAAGCAAGTGGCCGCCGAGGGGTAGCCGTGAGATGCGGTCGTACCTCCCTCAGCCTTGTGAAACAGCAGTGTTGAAGATGTGGCTCGTGCACGACAATGACGCACGGTCCTGGACTAGGTGACCAGCCTTGCAGTGATGCACTTTGCACCTTGTTGACCTGCAGCACTTCACATTTGCGATCGACACATTTTCCGGCTCTAATCCATACCCACCGAAACAACCTGAAATTCAACGAAGATGGGCTTGGTCGACTACTCAGAATCATCAGGATCAGAGGACGAGGCACCTGTCAAGCCAATAGTCTCTAAGCCGACGTCCACTGCCACAGGCAAGAAGCCATTCCAGAAAGTCGTCGACCGTTCGAACCCAGGCAAGATCGTCGTTAGTCTGCCATCAACACAACCAGAAGCCTCGAAGAGCTCCCTCCCGAACGACGAACCTCCAGCGAAGCGCGCGCGTACGGGAAACGGTGGTGGTCGATTCAGCGGCTTCAACTCTTTCCTCCCAGCTCCCAAGAACGCTGCTGCAAAGGCCGCTGCTTCGGCGCAAAGCAGCGGCAGCGGCAGCGGCAGCAGCTCGTCGCGGCCAGCGTTCCAACTGAAGACAGGAGCTGAACCTGGATTTAGCAGAGAAAGAGGAGGATCAGACGCGGATGGCTTGCCAGGCTCCGGAGCCGGCGGGCTCAGTCTGCCCCCGCCCAAAAGCCAGGCGCAACCATCGATACCAGAGGGGATGAAGCCTGCGGACGAGGTTAAGCTGGTGGGAAAGCCAATGATGTTCAAGCCTCTTTCCGTGGCTAGGAAGCCCAAGAAGAAGACGGTGAACTCTATTCCACCAGGAGCTACGACATCAAAGCCCGCACCGACTGCGACTCTACAGCCGGAGGCGGCACCCGCGCCAGCACCGGCACCAGCGCCGAAGAAGGTCTCCCTGTTCTCCATTGAGACTGAAGAGACATCGACAGATACCACAACGGCAGTAGCCAGCGGCGCATACGAGCCTCTCTTCGAAACAGAACAGCCGGTCGCAGCAGACAACGGCTACGCAGACTACGCAGCACAGGCACACTTCACGGCCCCGACGACGGCGCCCAACACGTCCGACTCCCTCGATACCATCGCCAACGACCTCAACCTCTCAGCGGCAGCCAGGCGCGAGCTATTCGGCCGCCAAAAGGGCGGCAACGTCGGCGCCGCGCCACAGACAGCGTCGAGGGTCATCAACTTCAACACGGACCAGGAGTACAGACACAACGAGGAGATCCGCGCGGCAGGCCAGCAGCAGATTCACAACCCCGTGCGGGCCATTGCGCCGGGCAAGCACAGCCTGCAACAGCTCGTCAACCAGGTGCAGAACCAGCGCGAGGCTCTCGAGGACAGCTTCGCCAAGGGGAAGAGCAACAGGAAGGAGGCGTCGAGTCGCTACGGATGGTAGAGAGTGCCACGCGCACAAGTATGATACCCGAAATGATGAGAGATCTTTATGATGAGAAAGAGTTTGTGTTGTCTGAATTTTAGGGGCTATTGCCCTTTTGGCCATTTTAATGCAGGTAATGTACATGATGTCTGGCATCGCCCAGACCTGATATCCCCATAAGAAGAAACATGTACTCGTGAAGGTCGTAACACTTGAAGAGAAACAAAAACTATCTTACACACACAGAGGAATGCACCAAACCGCTCCTACATCCTTTTCACGTAATTCAAAATCCAGCAAGAAAATGAAGAAAATCGCCGCTCAGCAAGTCATGACAGGGGCAGTGCGACCGCCGCCCACACCAGCAGGTCCCATGAGGAACCCCCATTCGCCGCGGGTGATGGGCGAGATATCATCATAGCCGTTGGGCGTCATCGGGCCCGATTGGCTGCGGCGGTCCTCGTGCAACACCTCGGCGATGGAGACGGGGCTCCAGATGGACACGGGCGGCTGACGCTCCGGCCGGGCCGTGAGGTCCTCGTCCTCCTCTGCGACCTCCATCGGCGCAGCCACCATGTTCCGGACGTCAAAATTTGTCTGCAGCTTCAGGACGGGGCCCTTTGGCGGCGAAGGCGGCTTGGCGATGCGGATGAAGTCGTCCGTTGCGGCCACGGTGCCAGCCAGCGTCTCGTCGACCTCGCGCTCGAGTTCCCTCACCGTCCTCGCCACCTGCGTCGCAGCGCCGACGCCTTCGATGGCGCCTACCCTGTCCGGGCCGCCGTAGGCTCTGCGGTACATCTTGTCGACGTCCGCGAGCGCGACGTCGGTGACGCTGAGCCAGTCGTAGGAACGAAGGATGTCGGCCTTGGCGACCTTGTTGCCGGCGCGGGAGAGGACGAGACGGCGGAGCTCGTCGACGGCGTCTTCGAGGCGGAGGGGGGCGTTTGTGCGGGAGTAGCTTGAGAGGGCGGCCTTAAATGTGTAGAGGCGGTCGAGGGAGACGAGGGTGAGGCCCTCTGAGGCGAAGAGGACTTCGTTTTGGACGATGGAGCGGCGGATGAGGCTGCTCGTTAAACCGCAGGCGGAGCCGTCTACTACCGGTGGGAGCCATTCTGTTCTGAAGAGAAAAGATGTGTTAGTGGATGCTTGGCAGGAAGGGGATTGTCGTTAGAGTAAAGGAGCGTACCCAATGCGGAACTTCCTCTCTGCCCGATCAATGGTCTGGCGCAGAGTCCTCTCTTGCTTGTCTGTAAGCAGGTCGGCGTGGATGAGACGGATGCCAAAGGGGTTGGGTGACATGGGGCCGCTGGCGTCGGTGATGGTGGAAGAGGCCGTCGAGGGCGTCATGGGCGGCGGCGAGAGGGGGATGCCGGGCGGCAGGGGCCACCTCAGTCTCGGGCCATTGGTGTCCATGAGGAAGGATGGCGTGAAGACGAAGCTCTCGGGGGCGTTGCTGCCGGCCGATGAGACGGAGGAGACGGAAGAGACGCTTGAGCCAGTGTTTGTGCGGACGAGCTTCTTGAAGGAGGAGACGGGCGATTTCGTGGAGAAGTTGAAGCGGGAGGACGAAGACGAGACGGAGGAGGTGCTGGATGCCGAGCCCGGGACGGGTGACATTGTCGGCGAGGAGAGGACCGAGGAGCAGGCCGAAGAGGAGGCCGAAGAAGGGAGGAGGGTGGGGAGCTGGTATTCCCGGCGGGCGACGACGAGGGTGACGTGGAGGGCCTTTCTAGCGAGGCGCTTGGAGGCGTACTCGAGAGCCTCGTTGAGATGGGGCGGCAAGTGCTGGACATCGAGAATGGAGGTGCCGGCCTCCAGAGGCGACGAGATGCGACTCTTGAGATCCATTGCGTTGTTATGGGGGTTTGTTATAAATTTTCTTTCCGTCGTCGATGTGGAACAATGTTGTAGTAAATAGCCGAAATATGTGACGCCAGGTCGATGAAAGTTACAAGATTTAAAAGGAACTATTCGAAGAGAGTGTGATAAGGAGACACTGAGCGCCAGGCTTAGATTTGCGCGAATGTTGAGGAAACACAAACACCAAAATACTACTGTTGAACAACTTTGTACATCTTGGAGGAGAGGGGGAGGATGGATGATGTTATATCAATCAACAAAACCGGCGTGTTGGCAACCTGCAGGTATCACCCCCCCCCCCCCCCAAAAAGGGTTAAAAGGGTTTACCAAAAAAAATCTGAAACAAGACGCAGAAGAGCACACTCGTATGCAGGAGGAGCCCCTTGTCAGCCCGTCTCGTTGTTGCTGCGATGCAACTCAAAACAGCCTTATGGAAGAATGAGGTGGGCGTGTGGCCGCCGCCTCCTCCTCCTCCTTTGGTCTAAGTAATCCATAGTCCCGAAGGGGAAAGCAGCTATCTGCCGATGTACTTTGTACACGAGGTGTGGATAAGATACCTCGGACGTTGACCCCACCGACACTTACGAATAGGTACCCTGGACATGGGTCGTCTCTTTTCCTTCCCCCCCGCAGATGCCGGCTGGTGAGGTGCCTAGGAACCTTGGAAATGCACACCACAACGGTCACCACACGAGGTACCCATCGCACAGAGATGCAGTGAGAAAGGGACATGGAACGCATACAATACTACTGTACGGCGGTGACGATGATGGGAGACATGGAAGACATGGAAGAGGTAGATCGAAAAAGTGGGATAAAAAAAGGTTTGGCGTGGCGTGGCGTGGCGTATGTGACAAGGGAAACTCTACCGTCGACTACGTAAGGTGCGTGGGCTACTCATTCAGCGCCAAAGAAAGATGAAACCCGTCTCTTCTAGATGACATTGTTGGACGACGTGGGGCTCCGCGTGCGCATCGTGGCTCCGGCTTTTTTGGTCATGGTCATGGTAAAGCCCCAGGGGGGTAACCTACGGAGAAAAGCAGGGGTTCCCAAAGGGGAGGGCGGACGGCGGCGAAGAGAGTACGCAGGAAAAGGGGAGCTATGGATAGGTGGGCGAGGATTTGTTTCATGATCTTCCTCGTTTTCTCGTCTTTAGTTTACATGCCATGCACGCAGCACCACCTTTCCATCATGCCCTTCCCGTCCCCTCCACACAGGTACCCTACCTAGAACCTGGACTTGGAGTGACATCCACGCGAAGGCGACAACGAGCTTTCTGCCAAGGAATGTGGGAGACACTCACACGAGTGAGGGATGGTAACTGTGAAAGAGAAGCAGCAAGAAGAGGGGTGGGGAAAGCCTGGAAACAGCAGCCGAGAGGGCCCCCGCCTGTCATCTATCTCAGCCCGTCATCAAACGTGCCGCCAGCCATACCACGCGTTCTCGACCCTTGACCCAGCACCATAACCCGAGCTATACTAATTATTGTGAGGGCCGGCCGTTCAAGTTGAGAGAGAGACGTCGGCCGTTGTCCCCGATAGGTGAGGTGAGCTAAGCTCGAAGTACCTGATGACCTACGCATACGACTCCATGCCGTCCGGTAAAGCCTGCTTTGCTCTTACTTTGCCTGAACAATAAGACTGGGCGAGATAGTGTCTAGTTTCCTCAGTCATGTTCTAAATCAAGAGTCAAGAAGGCAAATGAGTGAGGGACGGAGTTCCCTCAAAAGAAGCTACTGCACTTCCATCACACGACATACCCGCGTCCCCGTACCTAAAAATGAAGAGGAGAAATAAGAATTCCAGAAATAAATCAGATTAGAGAGTTGAAAGAGCGAATTAACAATTCCGAATGCTGCCTTATTCTCCGGACCCAAGATACGGCCCAGATCAGATACAACGCTGCGAGCGCATGCGTTTTCCCCCTGGACAACAGTCATTTGAACTACGGGAGTTATCCTGCAAAGGAAAGAGAGAGAGAAAAAAAAAAGGCCGTCTGTCCGCCCTGCTTGTTGAGCTTCTGCTATGAGATTCATGATTTCATTCCATTTCGTCCAATCGTAGAATTTCTCCCAGCTGCATCACTGCTCTAGCCTCACCATGTCCCGTCCCTCTGGGCGGCTAGCTGCTATTTTCAGCAATCTGTCACTGGCCGCCTGCACGCAACAGACCAATCATGTGTCGTTCTAACGAAGCGCGGGGATCGACTTTTGGATCGACGTGGGTGGGCGCTGTGTGCCGGTGCAGGGGTGTACGTGCATGATGATTGTGGGGGGTTCTTCCTGTGTGCTGCTCTGCTCCTATCCCATGATTTTCCCATCCCATCTCAAGGATCCCATGGTGCCAGGTGGATCTCCTGCTTGAACCTTGCGCGGGCCCGCCGTTCTCGCCAGCGTCGCAAAAATAGATTACTGCGTGGCGTGGCATGGCGTGGCACCGCATGGCATTCTCTTTCTTTCTCTCTCCCCTGCGTCGCCTTCACTTACCTCACCCAACGCTCCGGTGAGGCCAGCCTGCTGGGTAGACACTCGAATAGGGGTGGAATTGACCGTTTCCAATGTGGGAGCCGGCTCGATGGCGAACTCGTGGGAGGCGTGGCCGCCAATAACGGCGAACTTCTTTGTTCTTTGTGGAACGCAGGAACAAAGAATGGAGGGAGGGGGGGGGCATTACCGACGTTCGTCACGGTAAACACGTAAACGAGGATCGTCAACGTCGAAAGAACATGCAACAAAGAACCACTTGAGTAAAGCGGGTTCCCTTTCTTTCGCCCAAACAATGGCACCACAATCTTCAAACTCTGGCGTAACTGCTCACCGCAAAGTATTCGTACAACCATCGCTTACTTTCTCTATCTCTCTCTTGACTTTTTCTGTAGTCCGAACGCTTCGGGATAATTGGGGGCTTGGCCAAAAGAGGGAACCGCTAGTGTGGCGGGCGGGAAGTAAATTAATTTCTTCGCCGTTATGGCTATGCCAAGATACCTTCAATGGGCGTGGGGAATGTGTTAAGCTTCACTCAATTTACTTGAAGGTTGGCCGTGACAGGACTTCAACTTGCGGTAGTGGTTGTAGGGCCACGGGAAAATAAGAGCAATCCAATTCAATCTACCCCAGGAGAACAAACCTTTTCGCGGTGACAACGTCTCGTCTCGAGATGCCGCTCGAGATAAATTGCCCTCCCCGCTCCCTTCGTTCACTCCACCTTTTACCATGTTGTCGGGCTGTGACGAAAGAAGCTTGGCAGTCGATCAATCTCATGGTCACTCATCGAGATTTGCGATGATGAAAAAAAGAAGAGACGAGTTGCATACAGATAGAGTGTTCTGTAGCCTGTTAGGAAAATAAGACAGTGGAAGAGTCATTGACGAGGGCAACTGGAAACGGGGCCAAGGAGCTTGGCGTATTGGGCTCTTCTTGTCCGTTACCGTTGGAAGCAATTCTTGTCGAGGATACATTCAATGTATGCGCACTGGACCTACCAGGTGAGGTAGGCGAGGACCAAATGAGAAACACCACCAAAATAAGACCAAGAGGCAAGAAACGGACACTATAGAATTGTAAAATCTCCGACTCGATAACAGACAGAAAAAACACAAGAAAGCCAAAGAAAGTTTCCCTCGAATCCGTCGCAAAAGCCACAACTCCTCGTCTTGGCTCTTTTTTCGAACATCTTGTGACATTGTCATCTCAACTACACACCATCATCCTATACCGTACCGCGATCGAGATCATGTGAAGACTAAGCACAAGCATCGTCATCTCTTTCTCTTTCGCCGCGGTTTGTATCTTTCTTGGCTCAAACAGCTTGCCAAGATCTTGTCAGTCAGACAACTCACACATACATAGAATCGAGAAAACGAACCTCCAACCACCTGAGCTTGCCTTAAACTTCCCTCCCATCACCACCACCACCACCCACCGGCAGCTTTCCCCGCGCCTGCGCCTCGCCTTCATCTGAAGTTCTTCGTAATCAACCACAACCAGCTTGTCTATCCTACTCAGCATACCTTACCTAAACTGTTCACCTCCTCCCAATGGTGTGGTACACCAAAACTCTGAAGCACGTCACTTAACACCTTCCCCCTCCCATCCCCTCTCCTTCAGTTCATGCACAACAGCACGGAGGTAAGGTAGTATAACCCGAGTGAGCCGAGCCTCATCCCATCATTCCGCCATTTTGATAGCAACCACACGAAACCGTCAAACAACCCGCCAAAACCTGCTTTTTCTTTCTCCTATCCCGACTACTAGCTTCGCGAGTTCCACGGTAACCCCCCTCCTTATCAGCTGTCGCCTGCGTCATCTTCCATCCATCCCTCTTCTCAGCCCCCCTCCTCCATACGAACATCACCAACTTTGTTTCGCCCAGCCAAACACCCGCCAAGGGAAGTTTTTCCTCTACCCCGCGATAAAAACCGTCGATTTCACAACTCACTAGCACTGCCATCGTCACATTTTCAGAACCCCCCCCCCTTTCCATTCATACGAAAAGCACCAGACGGATATCACGAGATGACATCACATCCATCTGCCATCCTACACCAAAACTCCCACAACATGCCGACGGTTCCGCCAAGCACCGCACCCCGAATACACACCCGTTCTTCCGTCCCGGGACTTTACAAACTCGCCGGTCCCCGATATGCACCGATACCGAACAAGCTTCAAGGTCTAGACTAGCCCATTCAACCCCCGTCCCTAAAAAACCTCGCTTTCTCATACACCGTAAAAGTCACTTGTCATCCCTTTGACAAGAATATCGGATGGACGCCTCCTCTCCATCTCCTCGCTAAACTAAGAATCCTCGTAAACCACATCATTCGCAGCCCAGCAACACCTAGGTATTCCTCCCCCATCCAAGAAAATCTCCTCATCGTACCTTACATCGCCAAGATCCCGGCACTTACCTCCCTCTCGGCATAAAATCGCAACCTTCAACATCCACATCTTTGAAAGTCCTCTTTTGCTCCGCTGGCCCGAACTGCCGCTTCCCCCTCCATCGGTGCTTCGCTTCTCACTCATCCCCCGGGGGGGGGGGGGGCGCTGACCTGCGACCTGTGACCTGCGCGGCCCTCAGCCGAACGATAAACGAGAAACAACCGCCTCGCGTCCCATGTACCTACTCCATGTCATCATCAAAATCTAAATCCGGCCCTTCAGCCGCACGTCACTAAATCACTGCCGCGGTATTGTCTAGTCTTCCCGACCTTTGGTCTAAACAACCCATAGCCAATCGCCAACCTTTGCCCGGCAATCCCCATAAACGCCGGCCTCTCGCTGTATTCCCATGCTGCGTAGACAACTCCTCCTCTATTATCAAAGGGGAGCCAGAGAATCCCCATCCCCAGACCCTGGTTTGTTCTCCTTCTTTTCCAGTCCATCTCTGTCTCCAAGGGTAATTCGTAGATCGCTCCACGTGCCCACCCGACAACCATGCTGAGCGACCCCCTGTCACTCACCAATGGAATTCAACCTAGACTTCCACTTTCTGCAAGTTGACTAACCCCCCGGTCTTGGAACTCCTCACTTTACCCCCCTTCCATGGTCCGGCGGCTACGAGGAAGCCACATTATACCAACGTGACCCAATAATCCTCCCGTCACCGTCACTTTAAGCTCCTTTAAGCCGCTTGCAAAGAACTAATATTGGAACAATCCCGTAGCATCATCACTTGATTGACCGCTCACCATCACATTGCCCGACTCCATATCCACTCACCAGCAAAAAGCCGCCGAGTGCTACTTCATCCTCTATCATCTAACCTCACCAGTCAGTGCGCAGCTCTCGGCTTTTGTTATTGACTTTACTTTTCTTCGACTAGGCAAGTGTGCCAAAAATAATTCCTAGACTTGATATCTCTCTATGAGACCCGCTGCGAGGGTCTTGCTGATAATGCTGATCTCGGCATCAAGACCCATCTCTGGCTCTATCACGCACTTCCTCGCAATCTCCTAGTCATCCGTCCAATAAAAAAAAGACACAGTTTACAGCAATTCGTCAAAGGCCATGTATGAACCGGTCCATGATACCCTGTCCCTTCGGCCGTTACTGCCCATCTCCTGGACGTGGAAAACTTTTACCCTTCCCTGGGCCCTCAAACGCCTACACGCCATGTAAATGCAAGAAGCTTCCGCCGCCCATGTATAGCGCTCTCTGCTAGTAATTTCAGAACCTGTCCCTCGTCTCCTAGACGCCTTTCGCGGTTGGTCTGTTTCCTACCACGTCGCACCAGATATGTTCGCAAGTGATGTCGCAGTCGTTCAATTCGTCAGGGTTGCCGGCGGTTGCCGTCACTGGAGATCTGCCTCTGGAAGGTCGCCAGCCGCCTGCATACTGATGTCTGCAATGCTTTCCAGCTGCTCAGAGGACCCGCACGAATTCTCCCAGTCTTGACGGCCATTCAGTCAGCCGTCACGGTTCCGAGCCGAGGGTGTCTGAATCACTGTAGAGTCCTGGAGACATACCGGAGCCCTCATCCTCCAATTCTTCAACCGTCATGCGGCGCAATGGCTCAAGGACAGCTAGCATGGGGTGTTAGCAGGAACCCCATCATCAAACACCTGATTACTTACAGTGGTAGAGGTTTTGGTATTCTGCAAAGCTAATAAGGCGATCATTTTCAAGCCCCAGGTCGACCCCAAAGAAGGGTTCACATTTGGCAATAATGGCCTGCAGGTGTTCGGTGGAATGCTTCGCCACCTGAGCACGTCGCTTGACAAAGGACTCTTGAAGGTATACCAGGCAGCTCATGGCAAGCTTCCGTGCCGTCGCGTTCATAATGACCGCCAAACTGTCGTCTTCGTCATCATTTAAGTCATGGTTTTCGAACCACATATAGAGGAGAGTTTCCGTGCCCTGTCGCACATCTGCGTCGTAGTAGCCCAACAGAGGAGGTGCCCACATAGGGATAAACTCGAAGTATTGAGGATACCGTATGACCCGAATCTCCTCTCTTTCGTTCTGCAGGTGCACAAAGGCAAGTCGGAAAAAATCCAGAAAGGCCTGCCCATCCGTATTTTGCAGTGCCCTGCACTGAAAAGCAATGGTGCGGAAGAGGGTCTGGATATTGGCAGTGTTCCTGCTCTCGTGGGAGTATATCGCAGCTGCCCTGATGTAGGGCGCGTTAGAGTACTGTACTGCGCCGCCAGTAATCGTATTTCTGAGAAGCGTGAAGACTCTGTTATCCATGTCGTGGCTCAGATTGATGATCCTTTTGATAATCGATGTTGTGTAAGTAGGCTCTTGGTCGATATCGATCAGCTTTTTGACAAAAGTACTGCCTGCGTCCTGTTTCCACTCGTGGGTCAAGACGTTGATCTCTTCTGGAGTCCATGACATTTTCGGCGCTTGATGTTCCATGTAGATGTCAAGTCGCATCTCGGCACTTTCCACGATTGTGTGAACGTCAAGGACATCCTCTAGAGCATCCATGAAGTGATCGATTAGCTGGATGATCATTTCGTACGATGTTGAGCGCGTATTGCTGATACGACGAATGACATTCGTAAGCATTCGAGCGTAGTTGCTGGGAAGGTCCATGTTGGCATCAGCAAAGACAATGCGTAGCACCCTGTAGAACCAATTTTCCGCCATGAGCACAGCAGTTTCCAAGGTGCCCAATTGCGCAAAGGCCAGAATAGTTTGGAAAACTTCAGGCCATGACCTGATATTAGCGTGAAAATTGTTCCATAGCGCCTCGAGCAGCTGAACGCACTGCATTATGACAGGGTCTTCTACCAGCTCGTCCTGTGATAGTCCCCACATTTCTGGCCTAGAAATCTTGATCTGCCGCAAGGCTGTGAGGAAGAGGCTGCCAATCGAGTATCTGATAGCAGGGTCCGGGTTTCTCTGCAAAAGTTGCCGGAATGCTTCGTGCCTCTCCTGGAAGTAATCGAAGAAGTCCGCTGCACAATTAGCGCAATTGACAATGGCATGCTCAATCTCGTCTCGATATTCTTCAAAGTCGGGGAGGTCTTTGGTTCGTGATGCAACTTGGTCAAGGTGGCCAAGGAACATGAACATCGCATGCTGCTCAACGACGTGTGTGTCAGAACATTTCCCACCGTTTCGCATCATGGCATGTTGAAACATCCGAAGAACGAATTTCGAGTGGTTTGGATCGTAAAGACAGTGTCTTCGTAAGAGCAACGTGTTCTCCCCGTTGATATGGTCGATGACTTCGAGCGGGACCTCCACCTTCAATGGGGTCGGG